GCTCCTACGCTTAGCTCCTCTGTCGCTTCCTCCCGGCCGTCCGGCTCGATCAACGGAATACCTGCTCGTGATTCTTTTTTTCTCCGGCCGTCCCTCTCGCTCTCTCCTTCGGGCGGGCACGCCGCTTCCTTCATCCGCGGCTCGCGCATAATAATTGGTCGATCCGAACTCGATCGCGACGACCGACGAGAATTAGGCCAACCGTACGGGAACGGCTCGCGATCGAATCTCTCGCAGCACTGATTGTTTTGGTAGCTCTCTTGTTCTTCTTTTCGCCAGCCGGAACTACTTTGTTTTTCGTTCGCGCGGCGACGATCGCCGCTGCGACATTGTCACGGTGAATCACTCTTAACGTTATTTATCGTTTAAGACGTGTCCCACGTTTTATGCGAGTTTCCGTTTCGAAAAGTCACCGAAGGCTCGCGGGAAACGCGCGGTCGGCGATGCGCGGCACGTCTGCCGGCTCGGATTCGCGCGAATTTTATGGCGATCGCGCGTCGCGGACGTCCAACCGCGCCATCCCCCTGGAAATTATGACGGTCGGGACCTGCTAACGACGCTGGCACCGCGAGATTTCGCTCGTCGTTGAATTATAAGGAAATATTTCGAGGTCATTGGATGCGAACGCGGGAAATACGCTTAAAAGTGTAGGATTTTTCGTTTTATGGGGATTGATCGGTGATGCTTGCTTGGGTTTTCCGTCGATTCGAGTGGGACGATGGAGGATACGAGGTACGAGCGAGGAGCCGTTAACGCGCGGCAAATTGTTGCTTGGAATATGAATGAAGGGTGTGGTCTGGCACCTCCGACACCCGAATCTACATTTCTAATGTCCTACGGTGGTGCCCGTCACCGTGCCGTTTCGTCGATCTCGATCGATGATTAGCAGGAATCGAGCTGGCTTCTCGAGTCTCGTGTAGGCCGTTGTGTACGTTGAACTCGGTTCGCTGGAAGATGCTCGATGGAGTGGACTATCCGAGACTGTAGAATCTTTAGTTGAGTCGCTTGGAAGTCAATGCGTTTAAGCCGACTTTCGTATGCTTTCTGATTTTTGCGTATTTTCATGGAATATTCCTTTTAGCTATTCAAGGATTTACTGGTTTCTTCGTCTGTTCTAGGTCAGAAAGTCTTTTATAGCTTCCGAATGCTGTATAATTATTTCAGAAGCCAAAACATTTTCTCAATTTTTCTTTTCTGTATTGAACCGCATTGACTTCTGAGACTCAGTTAACACTTCAGCTAGCAGAAACTTAAGAATGATCTCTATATTTCTAAATAATCATTTCCCTTGTTATTGAACGATACTATTCTATCGTGGATTAGGAATATTACTATTAAGAATCTCCAATAGTTAACTAAACAGTAACGTCGAGAAGCCTATCTGCCAATCATCTTGTCTTATGGGTTTAAGATTCCGTTGCCATTGAAAAATTGGCTAAAACGCCGTTGAAGGAGTGTCGAGCAATCGTCGATGAGTGAAACGTTGGATCACAGATCAACGACGTCGGACGTGCGTCCTGCCAACCGAGAGAAATCATGAGTTGACTTCAAGCGGTCACCGACGGGCGTGATGACGTTTCCGGTAACGTTCGCGGATAACCTAGCATCGCTTCCGGTGGTCCTGGCCGAATTGTAGAGTTGGTAAGGACCTATTCGCCTAATTACGGCCGTTCGCCTCGAATTCACGGGTTTAAAAGCTCTTTATCGTTGCCGTGGCGTTGTTGTCATGACCACCGAAGCACGGTTCCCAAGGTTGACCGGCCGAAAATGCAAAGGACAACTTCCGACGGCAAGACTTGAACGCACGGGGCCACGTCGACAGCCAGAGGAGGATGAACGATTGGGAAAGATGTCACGTTGACACTCGAGGGTACGTACTATTAATTCTTATCGTCGCTAACGAAATAACGCGCCTTGAAACCCGAAATGTTTCTCGCTCGCTCGGGGGAATCGATAAATTAAGATAATCGTATCTTACAAATGAGACGCCTCATTAATGTCTCGCATCCTCGAGGTAATTAGGCATTCAAAATAAACAATAAGGATTCAAGGAAAACAGTCCCCGGACGATGTTCCTGCAGTCATCGAAGAAGATATTCCATAAACGAGTCGCTCGACAGTCGACGCGGTTAAGTCGATTCTGATGTTGTCTGATTTTTGTCAATTTCAATGGAACAAATAATATTCCTTTTTGCCATTCGAGGATCCGTTTCTTCGTTCGTTCTAGGTCAGGAGGCCCTCCTTTTTATAGCTTCCGAAGATATTTCAGCTAAAAATAGCTTAAAGAACATTAACTCCTCTGCGCTCAACCGCGTTCACTTCTGAACGACTTAAATGACCGAGACAATTTGAACCCCTTACCCTACAATAACGAGTGGGAAATAAAATCGTAACATTTATTCCAAATGATTGACAGTAAAGTTAGTTGAACAGAAAATCATAGAAGCACGCGATAATTCCTCCATAAGCAGCCGCCACGGAGCAACGTCGTAAAAGGCTAAGCCACCGGCGTATAACGACAAGCGATTTGCTAAACCTCTTCCTAAACGTGTTCCGCGAGACGCCCCGAGCGAGCGAGTGCCTCCGTTAATCAAAGCGAACGGTACTCGTTGTGGAATCCGTCGCAGGGCTGGCACGTTCGTGCCAAAAATGGCGGAAAAGTTGGTGGACCAGTTTGAACGGTAGCGCCCTACCGAGGAATCGATAGGAGGAGGCTCGTGAGGCGTCGACTGCGCTCGTGGGCGCTCGCGCGGCCGGCCACTAATCAATCCGCGGGCGGTTTTCGTGTTTATCAACAAGTGCCGCATACACCTGATTCCGCGGACACCCTTTCCGTGACGAGTCGCGTCCGCTCCGTCGTCGACGGTGCATTCGTGCGTGGCGGGTCGTGCTCGACGGAATCGCGTCGCTCGAGGACGAAAGTCGAGCGTTGTCCTTCGGCCGAGTCGCGACACGCCGCCTCCCTTTCTTCTCTTCCCTTCCGCCGCGTCTCCGCTTCCGGCGTCGCTCTCTACTTTCCTCGTGTCTTTGTGCTTTCATCGTGTCTTCCTCTCGTTCCTGTCGTGTCTCTGTGCTTCCGTCTCCCTTTCTCTCGCGTGCTTGCAACGACTGTTTTCTTCTCTCGCGCATCTGTGCTGGATCGACTCTGCCTTCTTCCCTCGTGGCTTTGTGCTTTTCTCCATCTCGCTTCTGTTTCCTGTGATTCTGTGCCATCTACTCTCTTCTCTCGTGATCCTCTATTTCCATCGTCTCTTCCCTTTTCTTC